TATATATATAATGGTTTATTATAACCCCTTAAGGGGACTTTATATTTTTAAGTCATATGGTTAGAAACTATTTTTATATTTTTTGCACTATATATTTGTTGCATGAATGTCTAGTACTATTGTATGATAACCATAGTATAATTGAATGATTTTATTTAATTTTATTGCTTAGATATTGAGTTGTAAAATGTAGTGATTTGTCAAATTATTACAATTTGTGTTAACAAATAGTTGGAATATAATATATTTTAATCAGTTATATTCATGTGTTCTATTTAATAATTTGTTATTATTTAATTAGTATAAGTAAATTATACTCAAATATATAATTTATTTTTTTATGATGTTATTTTCAATCTTAGAATAAAATTATGTTTAATTTCAATTTGTTCAAAATGATTTTTTTTTATTGAATATATGAATATTCGAACCAAACCTACTCTTTAATATTTGGTTAGGCATTTAAAAAAAAATTGAATTATATTGAAATTAATTTAAATTTCATTTTTCTTCATATCTAAATCAATTCCATCCATTAACACTCTAACTTATAATTAAACTATAAACTATTTTAATTAACTTTATAAAAATACTTATCCGGTGGTGACAATAAATCCCTATCAATCTCTTTAATCAATTGCCTTAGGCTTTTTATTTGTTTTATGATTTGTCTGAATCATTTCCTTACAACTTTCAGTTAGATTGTCATAATGTGGATGCATGTACCTTTTAGAGATTAGATATTGCCTCATATTGAGTTACGTTACATATCATAACAAGAAAAGAGGATGAAAGTGACATTAATTCAACTACTCTTATTTAAATAAATTTCTTTATAAATATTTATACAAAAATAAATAAAATAAAATTTTTAAATAAATTAAAATCAACTTATTCATAATTTTTATAAAAACTGTTTCACACCTAACTAATCTGAAAGTTTACGTGCATAAATTTATACTGAATAGTAAAAAATAAATAAATTCATTTTACCTTCTTATTTTTTTTTCATTCTTATTTTCTTTTCATGATACTGTAACCAATTGTAGAGAAATTTATTGAAACAAAACATTAATAACTTTTACGAATAATAGGATGAAGGAAACATGAACTCATTAATTATTTATTTGATATTATACATTGGGAATTAATAATAGATTAAAGAGGAACAATGTATGTTTAAAAGATAATAATAATAATAAAATTAATAATTCACATAATTAATGACTATCTTGTATTCGACATCAAGTGACAAATACACAGTAATACGCCTTATTTATTTGTAATTCATATTTAATATTTAAATTAATTTCCACGCACTCATTAATAATTTATATTGTTTGATCAATGATTAATTTAACGCAGTTATTTCAAAATATTAATTATTTTTTTAAATTATAAGATAAGAATAGTGTAAAAAAAAAAGAAAAAGAAAAAGAGAAGAGATAACAATAAATCAAACTCCTATTGCAATATTATGTCTTACAAAAATTTATACATATGCAATTTAAAAAAAAAAAAAACTCATCCATTAGCTATTTCTGCTGATATATCTTTGTTTGAAAAATTAAACAAATAAAATTGCAACCAAGGAAACACATATTTTTATAAAAAAAAAATTAGTTCACGTACTTAAGATTTTTTTTGGAATAACTAATATTTTCTTTTTACATCCACAACATTTTCTTGAAAAGATATATTCTTTTAATGATGTAATATTAATTTATTGTATCACTTTTTCTTTACTATACAATGAATAGTTTTTTTAAACTAGATTCTTATTTTTCTTTTTTAAAATATAATAAGATTTTATTTGGATAAATTTCTCAATAAAAATTGATAGGG